AGTAAGCCCCTAGTCCATTCAAAATGGACTGCTACCACGACACTGTTGCAGGCAAGAGATCCATTGCTGCCCTTGTGGCTAGTCTCAGTAAGGGAATGTCCAGGTAAGAACTATGTTCCTGGTGTTTATGGTCTCTTTTATCTGTTAGCACCAGTTTGCCATTTTATACAAAATGTTTGTTTTTTTATAGATGGTTCTCGAAGTGGCCTGGAGGTTACCGTGTTGGCATTGTTCTACATTCTTGCATACGTTTGTATTTTTTTTAACTTTGATCTGTGCAAACGTTACCTCGCATAGTTTCATCATCATTTTTTAAATGGTGTTTGTTTATTAGAACGAACTGCTCCTGTTCTAACTAAGCATGCTTAAGTGCTGACTTAGCTGTTGAAACACATTTTAAAATACTGTTTTTAGATTTACAATCAGATTGATGCTACTTTTTTAAGAATGGTGGATTTCACCTCTTAACCGCTGCATGTTTGTGCACTTTACACTGACAGGATTGCCGCTGTCTGACTAGAACAAAGCATGGTTTTCTAGGGTAGGCTGTCCCAATGTTTGTTGAGATAGAGGGGTAGGGCTGAGTGTTAGAGCTATGTGGCCCTCCAGAGGTTTTTCAGAGGCCAAGTGTTATGAGGGAAAAAAAGGAATACCGGCAAGATGGCTGTGCGAGCGACCAAAGAAACCCACAAATGTGAGTATTTTCTCCGTTAAAAATTACAATAACCATTGTATTTTCTTAGTTTAATGTTGTTTCAATGTATTATGGCCTTTTTCTTCATAACAAGCATAAAAATCGCTAAAAGCATGCTAATGTCTCGGTAGCTAGCTAGCTAACTTTCCCGTTCCACCTTAAATAGTCCAGCAGTATCGACACCTGAAGCACCAGAATGTAACTGCTGCACCATTTAAGGTGGAACGGGAAAATTTGAACAAGAAGCTGGTGAACAGCCGACTACAGCTTCTTATCACTGAAGGGGTGGGTGATGATAAATAATTGTCATATCTCTCTTAGAAAGCAGATGATGCCCTAAATGTAATTAGAGCCCAGCAGTGAGGAGCTGAACTTTTCCCTTCTCTGCCATCACTGAAGACGGGCTGAGTCGCCTACAGAGCAGTGCTAGTAGCTGTTAATGAAGCAACACTGCCCCCTACAGGGCACTGTTACAATATATTTTTTTCACCCGTTCATCCAGTGTTTCTTGTGTCAAGGGTGTTAATAGGGAGTCCCCTTTGTGTTCCCTTTGCTACAGTAACAGTGTCTACTCTTCTGGGAAGGCTTTACACAAGATGCTGGAACATTGCTGTGAGGATCTGATTGCATTCAGCCACAAGAGCATTAGTGAGGTCAGGTCCTGGTGTTGGATTAGTTCTGGACACACCAGCTCATCCTAAAGGAATTGGATGTTACAGTGCTCCACAGACCAATGCTGGGGGGATTTACACCCCTCTAGCTGATGCTTGGCTTGGGCCTGGTGACATTTAGGGCTCATGTGCAGTTGTGTCCCATTCTACTGGTCAATGCTTTTTTTCCTATGGAGATCAAGCTGCAGTTGTGCAGCTAAACACCTGTGTCAGCAATTATGCAAGTAGGTGAATTCACTGATTAGAAGGGCTACTGGCAGACTGGACAAGGAGTAGCTTTATAAAAAAATACATATATAAGGCATCTGAACATTAGAGCCAAGTGAGCTAGATTTCAGCTATCCAGGGTGGTAGCACTCCAGGACCAGGATGGGACAACCCTGTTTGGAACATACTCAAGTATATTAAAAACAACTATTTTTTGATGTAGTGGCTATGAGTCACTTGTAAGGAGTAAAATATTTTGTACAGTATTTTCCCTTCATGGAAATGTAACTGTACAAGTACTCAATTTCAGTAACAGCCACCCAAAACAACACTTAAGTACAGTAAGTACAAATGCCAAAGTATTTTCCACCCCTGGGGCTTGCATGAAGTCAGTGCTACCACAGCATGGTATTGACTGAGATTTTGAATAAATATTCCCTTAATCAGTAATCAGATGGATTAGATATTGTAATCAATAACCAAATAGGTAGTATTGGCTAACAAAGGATATTAATTCTCTCAAAGGGCAGGACTTGGTCCGTCTGCATAGGAGATTCTAGACACTGGAAAGCCCCTGGGTTCACAGAGAGGCCTGTGTGTACCTACTGACCCAGTGAAGAGAGGGGCAAGTTGACCTTGAAAGGTAAAGCAGACTGGTAAAAACCTGTTGAAACCAGTTTGTAGGAGTGAGCTCAACATGCAAATAGCCAAACTGATGGACGAAGAGATGCACCTATTAGAGAATGAGCTAATATCAGAATTTGAGAAGGTGGGGGAGATATCAAACTACCCCAGATAAATGGTATATAAACTGTTGTTTCAAACACTGTGCAGCTGGGTCTCTCTCTGTGCCACTTGATGCTGAAATAAAGAAGCCTTTTTACCTCTTCAACAAACTCAGCGTCTGAAGACTCTTTCCTTTTTGACATCTTTTGAGAAGTTGGACTTAAAACAGTTACCAGTAAGTGTTTAGCTGGAATGAAAAGATTTGTTTTTTTATTCATAATACATTGGAGGCCTGGTGTTGATGGGGATAGCAGTATATACTCCTTGGCCCACACTGTGTTTATTGCAGCTGTTGCATAAATTCCATATTCAAATTGCATATTTGAAGCTTGTAAGACATTCAAATAACAATTTGTGCTTTGCATGCTGCACTTAGGGTGAATGCATCAGTACATGTAATTAGCACTGGAGGAGCCTGCTAACCTGTTATCTTCTGAGCTGTCCAGCCTAAACCTGTTAAAGCCAGAGTACACAAACCAAATACTGTATATCAAACATTGTTTACACCTGTCCTTAGAATGTCCAGAAAAACAACAGACAAGCCAAATGAACCCGAGCATTTTTTGCTCCATTCTCTGGCACAGATACGGCAGGCTAGAGCTGGGCGATACGGCCAAAAATGTTATCACGAATCAAAATTCATATCGTTCGATATCGATACATACCACAATAAATGTCAAATCATTATTTCTTTCAAGTTAGAAGGCTGATTTTTGCTCCTGGGTGGTTAATTGGTGTTTTAAACTATCCTTTATGGTCGGAACACGACAAATACTCACCAACAGTGGAACATTTCACAAATCTGTCATGGCAGAGTGGGAGAAAGTTTCTGGTGAGCTGTTTTTACCAGCTGGAAAAGCATGGCTATTTAGTAATAGTCATAATTTAATAAAGAAAACATTATTTTTAGCTGGTGTTGAGCGCTCGGCTACCCCGTTACATATGACATTACAATATTCAGACACCAGCTAGCGACAACTGGATTTCTCTATACTATCGTAGTAGTTTAAGGAGTGAACCTCAATATATCTAACACCAGACAGTCCTCTTTTTAGGTACGTTTAAACTGAAAGCGGTGCTTGTGTCGTGTTTTAACTACAGTATCATCAGTTCGCCGTGCTGTGCGAGTGACTGAGTGCTGCTTCAAGTTAGCCAGCTGCTAAAAACAGCTAGCCTGGAAAGATGGTGCCTCACAGCTTCCTCAGTTTACTTTTGTTTAAATCAGGGCTGTAATTTACATGAACGCACTTCTTTCTTTCACTTTTGTTGATTGGGAATGCACTAATACTTAAATATGACTGTCTGAGCGCTGTAACATCGCTGTAGTTGTGAGGATTGTGATTTAATGCTGCTAAAGCTGGTTAGGATGTTAGGAAAGAGGTGAGTTCGCTGTAGGACAGTATAGTTACACCACTGACCTGATCACTCACACTCGCTCCACTCAAACAGGGAATGTATAACTCCATGTTTCAGCCGTTGCTAAAGACTCATCTTACTCGTCGCCCCCTCCCTCTCTAATCATGTAGAAAAACTCGGAAGTGCACCCTCTCCTGGCGATAGCAGAGTAGTGTCGCTTTCCTTGCAGTAGAAAACGCCACCAAGGCTTTGGTGGAAGTGTGAGTGTGTGTATTATATCAAACTTTTATCGAACATGTCGTATCGCTCTATCGAGGAAAAGTTATTTTGCGATAATTATCGTTATCATTTTATCGCCCAGCCCTACGGGAGGCCAACCAAAAGCATTTGGGTTTGTTCCATGTTTGTCCTGTCTGTGATGAGATTTTAAAACACCATTACAACAGCACCAAAAATAAAAGAGATTAAAACAAAGAATCAGCCCACTGCCACTCATGCTCTGATTGTGCACACCTAAAATCACACCCTCTCCAACTGAACAATTAGCAGAATGACTTGACATACTATTGTGTACCATCAGGAAGCCCATCATATACCACAAAACTGATAGCAAAACATGTGGAAAAACATTCCAACAGAAGAGTAGCTACTTTTAATTTGCAGTAAGAACAAAAAGGGACAAATGTGTGCAATCAACGAATGAAGTGCATTTAAGTATTTAATCAAATTCCAATACTACTTACATGACCCCACCCTCACCATCACCCAAGTGCTTTTTCCTGCCATCAGATCTGGCCATTTTGTAGCTGCATTTAAAACTATACCATACTTAACATAGTACACTAATGAATGAACTACTAATGACTACTATTTCAACATACCATTTGGCACAGTAGTACATGGTTTTGGATGCAGCCTCTGCCTCTAAACTCTAGGAAGACTTAATAGGTTTCTTGTAACATGAAAGAGTAACAAAAACAGCTTGACCTGAAACATTTCAAGACCGTAAAAGGCAGTAATCCAAAATGTCAAAATAAACGAAGGCATGACAAAGTAGAAGTCTCCAAAGCGTCACAAAATCAACAATTCAAGGCCATACAAACAAAACCTTGCTTCTCTCTGAAGGCGTTAAGAACTAAGTGCCCCATGTTACTTTCATTACTGAAAAACTGTCATGCTCATTGAAACGAATGGAAAACTAAAATTAAAAAACATTATACAGAATCCTGTTCTCCGAACTTATGATTAACAACGAATCAGGTTAACAGGTGATGAAGTCACTCTCCTTAGAGGTAATACAGAAAATCATCCAGGTTGACATTGGGCTCCTTGTGGATGCTCTGGCCCACCAAGAAGGCCAGTTTGTGGGCATACTGACATGGCGCAGGCACTCGCACAATCCCCTGAGGAGAGAAAACACAATGCATGAGATAAAGCCGGAATGCTAAAAACAATTGCCTCACTTGTCATTGCCTCTTCTGAAGCAGGTTTTTTTCAAACCCTGTCCAGGTCTACTTTTCTAAAATCATCTGAACTACAAGGTGCACAATTAAATAACTGGCATTAATAAAGACATTTCATGTACTCCTTAATAATTCTATTTGAAGTGTTTAACTCATCCACATTTTCAATTAAATTAACCACACAGAAAAATTAATGGGAAAATGTACTATAGCTTTTTCCTTATCGTACCACATTTAGATGCAGTACATGAATGGGCTGGAAAAAGGTGTGAAAGGAGATATGAGATGTCAATTCACTACATGTGAAAAATACCATCTTAAGGGAATCAACAAATGGCCAGTGCTTGGGGCTCTGCTTTACTTCCAACATGGCTCCTGGCATCTACTGTATTGCACAAATAAACTACTAAAGCTGATTTACTGTTAACATATTTAGAATGGCAGTATGCCATCTGGATGCAGCCCAGGAGACAAGCAGAGCGGTGCACAGTGAAATACTATTAGTCAACCGTATTAAGAACTGTTAAGAAGTGGACAGCGAGGGAGTTTCCTAGGTACAGTATTGCAGGGAAGACCGTTACCTGCCAGTTGTAGTACATGTGGCAGAGCTTGTAGGTGAGTCTCTGCATGTGGTCTGGTTTGAGTCCGCTGCTGTCAAACACTACGTTGTAATGAGTGGGGCAAATGCTGCCCATGCGCACTGCCTGACTCACGATGTAGAAGTCATACCTGTTGGGGCGAAAACAAACAAATCATGATTTTTTACATCCTATAATTCAATATTAAATACAATGGTACACACATACAAAAGGTCCAGCGTCAATCATAACAAACTCTCAGAACGCACCACTCAGGCCTGGTGACCTCCGTGTCGATGACTGTTCCAGGAGGAGGGTTGGACAGTTTGCCATCAATCCGAGCAAAGAATCTGGAGGCAATGCGTTTCTTCACCACAACCACTGTCAGTTTGGGCCTGCGGGAGACAAGGGGAGTTAGGAAGAGGGGCAGTCAGTGGAGAAAGAACGCATTTCGATGGAGAAGCCTCTTCAAAGTCAGACAAGCTGTGTGCTACTGAGATGCAAATCTCACGCATAGTCTTCGCCCATGGTCTTGATGGACTGCATGATCTGGGGTACTTCATAGTTGACCACACTCTGCAGCATGCCGTCACCCACTCCATCTCTGTACACAATGATGCGTGATGGCAGGCAGTTGTTGTACTTCCAGTAGGCCTTGAGAGCAGCTGAGAAGACAGACAGCAACATGACTTAGAATAATATTTGTAAGGATGGAAAACTGTTACATCACTACTGCTATTAAGCATGCAAATGGAAATATCCTAACAACCTACTTGGAACTTCTTTAACCTCAATTTCCTGGCAACACCATGTTGCCTAGGGTAACAGAGGGAAGCAAGAACTTCTGAGTTTAGTAAACGTACATAAAATTTAAGACTTCAACCAGATAAAACTGCATACGGCTCCACTGTAAAGATTCCCAGTCATCAAATGCTCTTGTGAAAGCACATCACACTAGAATCATGTCATGAACACACAACCAGTAGGCAAGGTGCTCGTTTTCCATCCCTAATGAAAAAGCCAAGGGTTGACTGTACATACAAGACTTCACCAATGGTGCCTATACTCACACAGACAAATCACAAAATTTGTTGACAATGCAATTCAGTGTGTATGCTGTGTTCTTACTACATCACATACCCTTCAATGCCACTTTGAGTCCATCAATGATCTCCTGGCCACGACTCTGCAAGACACACTTGGAAAACCACCTATAAAGAGAAGCAATATGCACATGAGTTAAACACCTAAACAAAAAATAATCCTACAGACAAATGTTTCACTGTATAGTTAAACATCAAATCCTCTAACTACCTGGACATGCTCTGGTTGAGGCTGGCCACCAGCGCACCAATGGATCTCTTTCCTGCAGCAGTGTCATGATAACAATCGATGCCCACAATCATCAGCTGCTTCAGCTGAAAGAGATAAAAAGGGTACGCTATGCTCCAGTGATACCTCAATGCATAAGTGGTCTTACAAAACAAACCAAAACCATAATGGTTTACCAGACCAAAACCGGAATAAACCAACACATTTTAGATGCTCTCCAAAATACACATTAGAACAGCATCATATTCAATGGGAGAAACTTAACAGTCCTAGAGATTATTTTACCTTTTTGTCCTATTAACAATTTCAAAATAGATTTAACTGCTTAACACTATATTTCATAATACATTGCTTGATTATTTCTTCATCTCAGACGTTTAAAATGCACACTTGTAACAATGCAGAGACCCTGGATTTCACTGCTATTTTTGCCCCTGCAGCAACACAATAGACCATTAGGAAGCATCTGAGGGTCTTACTGGAATCTCGACGCTCCACAGTTCTCCTCCCATTTTGCAATTCATCTGCAAGGCGATCTTAGTGGCCACAGTCATGAGGGCCTGAGGTCTGCTGAGGGTGCGAGACACAACACACTGACTGGGAGTCGGACAGTCCACGCACAGGTACTTCTTCACACAGTCGTACTTGTCCTTGCGGTTGGTGGGCAGGATCACAACAACCTACACAACCACAAGAAAGATATTAAAGGCTGAGGGCCTGAGAAAGTGTTTTTATGCACAGTCAAATCAGTTACGCACTCATTCTCAAAATTACCCTTCAAATATTTATACTTACATAATATAAGAAAATTAAAAATTACTTAATTTTTATTACTCATAAAAAATACTTCCATATAACTAAGAATTACTAAATCTTATGTACTTAATATTTTTACATTTTGTACAAGTTTTAATTTTTTTTACTTAATTTTTATATACATAATCTTTTATTAAAATATTTGTTTTCACAAACACATTTATACACCCTATTTTGCAACAGATGTTTTTGCTTACTTAGACAGAAGACACCAAACATACAAAATACAATGTATTTTCGTAGCAAGTTTACTAAACAGATAGGCAAGCTCATGTTCCACTAACTTGGTGCACCAAGTTTATATCAACCACGAGTGAAATAACTTCGACAGGTGAACAAATTTTATTGAGGATTAATGACCTGGCAAATTAATGTTTTATACTAAATTTGGATAGATTTTTATAGGCATCAAATACACCGAGCAAGCCTGCTATCACTGTTTGTTTCTCAGCTCTGCTACATGGCCCTCTACAGCTGAACAAGTGACTATGCATGCACTCAGTTTCTTCAACTAAATAGTGTTCGAAAGTTATTATTATTGTGGCAGATTATAATCCTCAGAACGTTGTGGATATTGTCCGTGCCTAAAGAACCCATCAACTGCATGTTCCATTGAAACTGTATAATTAGGCCTAGCAGTACAGCACAACATGCATGAAGCTGAACAAATATTTTACATTATTTGAAGACAATGTGGTCCAAGTGCATTGTGCCTGTGTCATATGACATTGTGTCGTGCAAAAGTCTAAGTATCATGACAGAATGAAACTTATCTTGCCTTGGTCATTCAAAGGATAAAGGGTGACCTGAGCAATTATTGGGAGAGCATGACCGTTTACCTTTCAGCTAACATTAAATGGGTATGTCCCGCCATCACGTTCATTGCTAAGTAACTGCATTTTCTCCTGGTTTTATGATAAAACATTTTGTTTAAAACAGTGCTAAATGAGCCCCTAATTTTAAAAACTGTCTGGAATCCACTTAAATACTGAATTCAGTTGGAGTTTTAACAAAAAAAAGTTAACAAAAGAAAGGTTTCATACACCAAGGAAACAAAACACCAAAATAACCAAATACACAAATATCTGAATGATTTGGACCAGCCCAACATTTTTATTTTTTGGTACATTCTACTTTCACTGTCTGCACTGAACAAAAAGTAAATAAATCTAACATCGTGATAAAGTTCACATTGCTTCCCACACTGTGTGAGTGGGACAGTATGTAACCCACCATCTGAGTCCCAGATCCCACATTGTGCTGCAGCGCTCTCAACAGAGACTCCTGTCGATCTTCATACTCTATCCTGCTCAAAGAAAACCAGAGGAAACCTTCCAGACACAGCACAGAGAAAACCACAGAGAAATGCACAAACATGGTGACTCACATGACTGCTCTTTGCATGCGGATGCCCATGGGTCCAGCTACTTTATTAAGGGTCTGCAGCAAAGAGTGAGCTACATCACCATTACGACGTGTGTAAAACATCATCCAGGATTCCAGAGGCATGCTGCTGATCAGAGGAACACCTCGCATCTCTTTAGACCAGTCTGCAGCCCATGGGTTATACTCGTACTGTGCACAGACAAACAAGCTCAACTTGATGGTGACTGACAGAAACCAAAAACTGTGTGCATGCGTGTTCAGTGGCTCCCTTTACCATCCTGCCTCCCTGAATGATCCTTTCAGTAGGAAGAACTCTTCCAGTCAGACTCAGCAACTTGTTCTCAAAGCTCAGGCCCCATGTGCTGAGCTCATTCTGAGCCTCAGCATTCCTAAAAGAGAGAAAGAACATGAGAAGCACGAAGATTAAGAAGTAATGCTATTGCATAACTGAATAATTAGGAAAGCCTTCTACTGGCAGTAGCAGTAAAAGAAAAACAGAGCTGAGAAAATAGCATTTCTAACTCACATTACACAAGCGGTTGTGATATGCAGTGATTGTGAAAGAAAAAGTGTGACAAACAGTCAAGGTCAAAATGGTCGAGCATGCACTTGCATTCACCTGCTGATGTTGGTGATGAATCTGTTGAGGCGAGATTCTCTCTGTTCTGGGGTCAGTCTGGTGTGAGCTGCCAGATCCTTCATGATGTTGAAGTCATTGCGCATCTTATCCGTCAGACCTAAATGGGTTTAAATGACCATGTTATCCATATGTTATAAAACCTGGTTGGCATTTAGGAGAAAAACTGCTGTGCTTGAGTGTCGTTGTCTCCTGCTCCTCAAGTGTAGTCTGACCTGTGAGGTAACAGAATTCTGGAACAAGCAAGGCTGGTCCTGGTGGAGGTGCTCCTGCAGGGCCCATCCTCCTAACATGACTGACCAGCAGAACCTGGTTCCCATCTGTTATTTCCAGACCATATTGCTACAAAGGCAAAAAAGCAGACATGTTATAGAAACGAATAGCTGCTACAGACAAATTAAGTCTCAATGTAACATCTCTACCGTCTTGTAGTAATCCTTGAAGGAGATCATGGTGTCTCCCCTCTTAAAGGTGTTGTTGGGGGTGTGATCCCAAGCAATATCATCAATCCTGTATGTCTTGTTATTGTACCTATAAATGTCAAAGTACAAAGTCAGATTACACACATTAGCAGTCCAACATTAATAATAAGCAGCATGGAAAAACAAAGATTCTTACTTTGTGAGAACAATCAGGCCCACCAGCTCTTTGGTACAGGCATCAGGAAAGCGCTGGTCTCCACAATGCTGCTTCAGGCTGGACATGAAGTCAAGAACAGTCTCACTGCGCAGAACTTTGTGGCTCACATCAGTACACAGCATGATGCTGGACTCATACTGCATAATGTTGGTCACAAACCCAGGCCAGATGGTCAGTCTGCATAGGTAGAAAAGACAGAAAAGGCACACACTTGTAAAGTGCATCAACAACTCCAGTCCTTGGGGTCCAGGGTTCTGAGGATCATGCATCCCACCCTTTAAGAACTCAGCTCATTTTATATAAACTGTAAACACACACACACACACACACACACGGCGCTACAGCACCTGTGCTGGGGGATGTTGAGGGGGTCATCAGGCTTGTAGTAATGACGGCCAATCTGCTGCATGTTCAGCATCCTCAGGATCCTGCAAACACAAATAACCTCTGTGACAAAGATACATTTGATTGTCAGTAATTACAGAAAGAAAAAAGAAGGTTGATGACCACATAAGGCAAATGAATAAGGCGTTTAGGCACTGCTACATAGACCTATGTTTACCTTCTAAAAATGATGTTGTAGAACTGCAGGCACACAGGAGACGAAGGAGGCAGCTCATTGGTCAGTGTGACTGTGATCTGGACTCTCTCTCCATGCCTGGTTTCACTACAGAGCACTGTCTCCTAAATAGACAAACACATGCACCATCAGTTTCTGTACAGAGCCACTGTTCTGAGAATACAGCTTTTAAACGCAGACTTAAGTGCTGTATGACAATCTTGTGTGTGAGCTTACGGTGTTATGAAGTCGATGAGGGAGAAAAAGTAGGGCTCCGTCAAAAGTACGTGCTTTGCCCAACGTTTCATCATGCTGGAAGAGAAGAGCTGACCGCAGACGCCGAGACTCCATGGGTGGCTTGAAGTCCACATGGTACTGATACAGAGCCCACTGGGGTCGGGACAGCAAGCGCATGAAGTTAGCCCGTAGCTCAATTGGGGAGCCCGACATGCCTATGGAAAAATATAAAATTGCCTGTTAGACCCATTTCAGAGCCTCAAAATGGAAGTTAACCATAACAAGCCTCAGCAAATGTGTTGTTTTTGAAATACGAAACATGCAAGAACATAAGACACTTCATGCTAAAAACGACAAGACGTTTACAAACACACAGGCCTACAAAGTGCTGTACATATGCTTGTGACTGTCTAAACCTAAATCTCCTTCCAAAAGTCTAAACAACAAAAGCACTCTTATTACTGAATGTTTTATGGACATGTGTAATTTTCATCAGACTTATTAACAAAAATTAAAAGCAGAACCATCTACAATTTATATTCTCTCTGCTACTTTTTTCTTGGAGATGAATATTCTGCTTTATTCCTTATTACATACTCTATTATGACAACTTTAATCTATCAGCATATTTCACATCCCAATAAAATAAAACACTTGTTAAAACAGAACACTGACCTGTCTTAGACTCCTTAACATGCTCCATGAGTTGGCGAGTGTGGACCCCAGCATCGTGAAAATCTCGTCTGCGCCCTCCCCTCTCACCAATCTTAACCTGCTGGAAGCCTGCAGAAATCTGGAAGACAGCTGGAAAAACAAAACAAGAAAGAACATGTAACAAATTACATTTCCTTCACACAGAAAATGCAATTCAATAAAGAACCGTTATCTACTATCATGCCAATTATCAAGTAAACAACCAAAACCTTTAAAAACTGAGTAAGCAAATGTTTAGCTTTACCACACTTCACTGCAGCAAACAGTAAGGCTATGACTCGCCAAATAACATCCATTTTGTGAATGCAGACCAAGCCTTTTCATGTGTAGTTGTGCTATGCTGAGTCAGCAGGGAACAGTAGGGAGAGATTTACAATATTCATTTACAACATTCAGTACAATCTAAAGGACCGCGTTAGTAGTAACATTAGAACATTGGTGCACTTTAGCTACCTTCGGCTGACACCGCTCCTGGTGCTCTTTTTTGCCTTCCCCTTCCCACAAGTTCTCCCTCAGCAGGGGGGGGTAGGACAGGTCTCGCCTCCTCCTGAGATGGAGTGGGTTGCTGCATAAGAATTTACACTCAGTAAAACTTAAATCACGATACTTTGAACACCTCATTACCTGAGCAGCCCAAAAACCTGCAGGCAACTGTTCCAGCTATACCCAGGTTCACGAGTGGTATAATTCAGGGTTACACATTACAAACCAAATATAACCAGGCATTTAACTAAGAATGACCATAACCATGAACTTAACCAGCGCAACACTGCAGGTCACCCAGCTGGGTGTACATAAACCATTACTTGCTACATATTTCCATTACTTCACCTGTGAAAAGCAAAATGCCAATTCCACTGTTTGCGAGAACTAATGCTAGATGATATACTATCTATGCCAATATTCTAAGACACTGACATGATGCTGCTTTTCAAATTTATTATTTCATAGTAACATATCTCATAATGAGCATTGTGTCATGTTCATACAACAATAGCATCCCTGTTACCCAATATTTTAAGCTGTTTAATTCTGATTTGTTTGCTTTATCCTTCTGTTTGCTTAAAGACCTGACAAATAACTGCAATGTATGTCGTCTGCTGAGTAGCTAAGAACGTTTAGAAAGAACCGTACAAATTTCTAACAACTAAAGGGCCCTTTTCACATTTCATTTTTTCTATTTGAATTAGTCGTGGCAGAGCAACACTGCTTCTGCAATACCAATGATGATAAGCAGAGTGTGTACAGTTCACTTGAGTGTTCGAGTTTGAAGCAAAAACAAACTTCTCCGTTTCAACGGTTTGTCAGCTGACAATGAGCAGCGAAAAAGAGAGTCCATGCATTTAGCAAAGGAATAAACTTTGTCATATGGAGGAAAAGAATCTCTGTGTCAGCATTTCACGGCTACTGACCAACATTAACATACAGGTTGTGCTTTAAAACTGCTGCTACAGGCACTTTCACAAACTGTTTCATCTCCAGCCAGCATGGCTTATCTAGCGTTTTGGTTAGTTATTTTCACCTCCGTTGATTTATCACTCTTAAGACGTTAGCCAATGTAACTGATAGCTTTTCCACAAAGCATTTATATTCCTAACTTATTTTGAACTCCCACATTGTCGTGTGTTTAGTTCTCCAACAGTTCTGGACACATTCTTGAACTTCAATCTTGACAACTATGACTAAGATAAAGTGACACACCTTTCTGTGGTGAGCTGAAGTGATAAACGCCTGTATTTCTAAGGTTTATAACTGTCCGTAAGGCAACAGAGGAACTTTGTTTTTTTAGCCAGCGTTTACGTACTTCCATTTTTTGTGAAAAGGGCCTATTACAAAAAGTTTTACTTTACTTCTTTGTAATGTGTTCTGTGTTGTTAACAGTACAATACTCCGCAACGGAGCCCCACTAGTGACACTGCTTCCTAATAAAAATAATGCATGACCTCAACTTACCACAGCACTGGAATAAGATCCTAATGTGTAGCCACAACTTAAAAGGCATGAGAAAAGATCTTCCTGCATCGTCCCATTAGTGTATTTTTAATTTCCACACTGTGGGAACAGGACCCTAATACGAAGGTATTAGCAGGGCTCTGCAGTATGACTATTTGGTGTAATTCTATGATCACAGGTTCAGGAATTTAATGAACGCAAACTTAAACATAATCTGATACCATAACATACTTGGAGAATGTCATACTGCTCATTTTTATTAATACCACTTAGCACTAGTGAACCTGACTGAATGCTGGAACATTAATTATTATTAATAAGGATTTTCACCGCTCCTGGAGCTACAGCCTCCTGACCGCGGGCTCTGCCCCTGGATCTGGCTCTGGCACGGCCGGTCATCGCTGCTTAACCTTAGACACTCAGCTTCCCTGGAAACTAGAAAGAAATGATAACAGTAAATGGATGCACTTAAAATGTGGGAGTCGACTCCTCAAAAATCACCAGAGCAGGTGACAGAGATACAACCATCCTAAATAGTTGTAAGTAACTTTATCTACGTATTATAGTGATATGATCAAAATTAGGCTCATTTCACACAAGGGGTGCAGTGATGTACTGAGAATACCATTTCTGTAGTCAGAAATCTCTGAAAAAACCCAGGTGTATGTTTATCCCGTTCCTCTTTTTCATGAAGCTTAAGCTGGCTTCGTATTCGCCAGCGTCTTCAGCGACTTTTCCGTTCCACCTTAAACGATGCAGCAGTTGCGTTAATTGTGCGCCGGTGCCAGAACGTAACTACAGCGTCATTTAAGGTGGAACTGAAACTCACTGTCGCTCAAACTCACTCAAATCTCTCATACTCCTCCGTCAAAACGCTCCTCCAGCGAATTACAATGAAAACCAGAGTCGAAGAGTCGACTCTAGGTATTTCGATTGGTCAAGAGTCAACCCCGACTCCTAGAAGTGCTGGAGGCAAAGAACCGATTCTTTTAGAATCGATTCATCACTACTTCGATCCGGTCTAAACCGGATTGAAGGCCGTTAAATTAACGGCTAACCAGCGAACGGATTTCACGATTTAATCGTGGTGCAATGCCTAAAAACAACATGCGATGGCTTTACTTATGACTTTAATTACTTGTGAACTATTTCTATCAGCATCAAACTCGTTAAACTAACGTTACGGGAAGGTTTTTCTACGCTAACTGAATTAGCAGTGCACACTAGCTAACCGTTAACAACCGTTAACGACACCACTCACTATACCAACAAAAAACGTTTGGTTGTAGAAGATTCATTGTGAAACATCTACAATTATGTACGTTTCTTATTCATTATTCCTAGCGGTATCAAACTTTAAACAGATTTTAAAAACAGAAAAAACTACCGAGGCTGAAGTTGGCCTTTTTCGTTTGCTCCTTGTTCGAATTTTCCCGTTCCACCTCAAATGGTGACTTCAGCTTCGCATACAGCTGGACTTGACCTGTCGTTTCCTACAATAAACGACTTATTTAGTATTTGCAATGAAAATATACAGCCTTTTAAATGTAAATTTAAGAAAAATATCTTTTAGATATTTATCTAGTTTAACATAACACTCGACGACACATCCTCACCTCGCTCCGGTTCTCCGTGAACTGTTTTCAATTAACCTCATGAGCTGCTGCACAGTGTCCTCGAGAATTATGTATCACTCCGCGCCCTTCATCACATCCACCTTTTTTTGAAATAATTAACTATTTTGATAGCTTTCTTTGTGCTGTGTGCTTATATTATCTAATTGCAGTATTTACAGTACATCTTATGGATGACTATTTCGAAGCAAAGTAAACGCAGGCGATGAGGTGCTACTTTCTTTGGAAGGATATTTGTCCAATTTGGTTAGTGAAGCGCATTTTTTGTAGTCTTTTCCAGCCACAGGTGGCGCCGAGCTCCATGCAGAGCAGTTTCTGTCCACCAGATGGCGCCAAAACACAAATATTTATTCATTTAAATACAGATCCGAAGTTTCCTTAGTAATAAGACCAGCTTTGTTGTGACTGGCAGTGAAGTAAAACGAAAAGAAAAGCGTCTTTTTCATGTAATCCCCCCAAAAATACACATTTGTTGTGCAACTGTGTTACACATTTTGATAGATCGTGTATGTGCGTGCAGTTGTCAGTATATTTAAGCTATTTTTGAACTGATTCCTGAATTTGTGACATCTGTTACTGTCATACACGAAAATAACTTAAGTGGTATTAATTCAGATCTTAGCGGTGGTGAAAAGACTGAAAATATACGTCCACTCTCATTATGCTGACGTTACACTCACAATCCACTTTATTAGAAACACCCACTTTATACATCCACCCACTGGCCACTTTATTAGAAACACCCATCCTATAGCTCCACTCTATGGATGTACAAATACAGATCTGTTACAATGTACACTTTGTAAGCTCTAGCCCATTAATCATTGGTCAGTTTCTGGACAATGGGATACTGTTTACCACACATTTTTTGGCAGCATCACTGAAATTAAACCGAGATTATAATGCATGGGGTGCTGGTAAAAGTTTTTCACTTGCTTGTGTATGCTTTTTTATGTAGTAGACTTTGTGCACTCTTGCACATTTTCCTCTCTTGTGTGCTCTCTTGTCATGTTGTAGTCTAGAGCTGCGTTTGTTATAGCTCCACAGTTTGAGAAGTGGGTGAATGTGCCTCTGAATTAAGCTGGAGATGAAGTTCAACAGTACATCAGTTGCAATCACGGTATGGATGATGAGAGGGATGTGTTAGGTTGGTGGAAAGGTCACAGCAGATCTTTCCTCTTGCTTGTTAAGCTGAATGTGTTTCTGTAGCAGCAGTAGCGTGAGGAACCTTAGCACAGAGGGAGTAATAGCTGTTTTGCCCTGAAGTGGCTGGTAGGCTGGTGGTATGAGCGGCATACCAGTAACTGAAAGGTTGTGGGTGCAAATCCCAGGACTGACAAGTGGTGCTACTCAGCTGGTGATACTGGTTATAGGCAGCAAAAGGACAAATTTCCCTCTTGGATCATTCAAAGCAGTTTTTCTCAGCATGACGTTCTCTGACGTTCAACCCCAGCGTTGAATAACAAAGCTAAGAGTCTGCAATAATCCTTCTCTCCTAGTGCATACAAGTCTCTTTGAGTTCACATTTAGCAGCACCATTTGGGCCTCCTCAGGTCAGGTCTCAAAGTCATGGGTTTGGGCTTTAGTTTCAGGCCTCTATCCTGCTCTAATGTGGGCTTTGTGAGTTTATTATGGTAGAAAAACCAAATCAGACGATCTTAGATCAGTAGACTGAGGTGCGACCCGTTTTTTCTCCCTTAAAGTTCTTCACCCTCTAGGCCTGTGCGGACCTCTGAGACTTGATGATGTCTTTTTTAGTTTTGTGAGGAAATAAGGCCTCCTCCCCGCCCTGCACTGCAAAGCTGTCTCCTTTCATCGTACATCATTTGTTTTGATGTAAACAAGATCAGAGAAAGCCGGGTTGGTGGGATGCACAGAAATAGGCTTTGACACGAATTCTGAATGAACACTTCTCATTTTGCCGTCGCCTGTTCAAAGGGAAGTCGGCGGCGGCGTGCATCGGGAGAGATTTCTCTTGTATCTGGCAATGAGCTGGCGCATTTGTTGTTCCCCGCTCGCTTTAAAAAGTTTTTTCGCTGTTTTTTTTTCCCCTGCAAGCTCAGATTTAAGGCGAAGCCCTAATGAGCCCGGGCAGCGTCGCAGTGAGGTAGGCCCTGGTCAAAGGCAGATGCTTTCTGCTTTTGATGATGCGCCAGTTGCTCATAAACATCTCCTATCTCACTGTTTATTGCTTCTTAGTCGCTGCTAGGCCTTTTTTGCTGCACTTCTTGTGACGCAAGTTCCTTTTCTTCTCAACATTGCCCATTCTTTTGTGTTTTAAGTGAGCATTTGCATGGTTCAAGCTTAGCCGATGCTAATGGACTCACAACAGAGAGAAAATACTGTTCAAAGCCTTTAGAGCATTTTAAGTAGACTGCTGATGTGGGAGATTAGCAAAGAGATACGCACACTGGCTCTCTTTTTTACAACAAAGTTGGTTTATAATAGTAGTAAGCTGATGAAAAGAGCTAGCGCGGCCTCGCCGTTTCCAAAAATCTCTGTTTTGAAAATGGTGTCCAGCTGTATTTTTGAGGAGTTCGCCTGTTTCCTGATTGGCCTGTTCTCTTTCTTGTTTCCCGCGTGCTTTGATGAAAGTTTAATGCCTCGAATGTTAAAGATTCTGCAGCAAAGTCACAAACCAGACCCCCCTCCGACCATGCTGTCTATCCCATCACTTATCCCAAGCCAGAGAAATGGCTCCACCCCCCATCCGCCATCTTTCCCGCCTTACCCTCTCACCCTCAGCCATCAGAGGGAAAAACTTGGCACCTCGAAGGGCATTTGGAGGCACATCTCTGGCTGGCTTTCATGTCTGAGATCTAAGAGTGATTAGAGGCTTCATCCTGGAGGGAAAAAAAATCCTCCATCACTGTTTACCTGCCCGTGAACAAGACGGATCAGTGTCGTCTTAGGGGCGATGGAGCTTTCACGCGGCCTCGCTCGGCTTTTAAACGTCGGAGCGATTTGGGGACGTCTCATGCTGGAAAGATGAGGCCGAAATCAAAGTTGTGGATGAAAGTTGAGTGGTACAGCGTTATATGGGCAGACACGCGGCTTTGATCTCTTTGTAATCCCTCGCTGATTTGAAAAAGAGGTTTACTGATTCATTGGCCTTTTATGATGTCTGGCATTTCAAAAAAAGGCATAACTTTAATGTGCATTTGAGTCAGAAGAGTGCGCCTTCAAGGTCTGTGTCAGTGATTATTAAAGCAATAAGCCACTAAAGGCCATGATGATCATTTTCATAACGATTTTTGGTAAAATCACTGTAACATGGGGAACTGAGATCTTTATTGCCTGTATAAAATAACAACAAAATAGAATATTAAAAAATATTCAATAAATATTTAAATTGCTCATAAATCATTACCACAATAAACTAAGAATGTGAGATTTTAGGATTGCTTAACTGCTAAAAATACTTTTAAAACAGTATTTTGAGTGAAGTAAAAAACTAAATGTGTTTTTATTCACATGGGGCCGTCATGGGCTGGAGGTTAGGGGACCAGCCCTGTGACAGGTAGGTCGCCAGTTCGATCCCCTGAGCTGACAGTACATGACTGAAGTGCCCTTGAGCAAGGCACCTAACCCCCAACTGCTCCCTGGGTGCTGAGGATAGGGCTGTGCACCGCTCCGGGCAAGTGTGCTCACTGACCCCTAATGTGTGTGTTCACTAGTGTGTATGTGGTGTTTCAGTCCCTATTGTGGGACTAATAAGGGCCACTTAATTAACTTAATATTTTGAAAAAATAATATTTTTAAAATCTGTTTAAAGCTACACTATGTAACTATGTACTTTAGAGATTTGGAGACCTCTCTGGTGGAAAAGTGTAACTGCACACAATATGTGGAAGAACATTTTGTAACATGGGTTGTGCTTCACAGAGTGGATGAATCAGATGATTGCGGGTGCGTGTTCAAGAGTATTCACAGAGAACTCAGTCAAAACTTGGTGAAGGATGTGTCTTCGAAGGATGTGAGTGAATTATCTACTATTGTTGAGACCTTAACCTTTTTGAGCCTGTGCATGTGACGTTAATATCTAAAGATGCATGATGTGGTACGAAAAACTCCCACAACATCCAGACCCGATGCCTCTGAAGTTTTTTTCTCCTGACTCGGTAATGCTACTTCTCTCAATTTTAACAAAAAAAACCTACATAGTGCAGCTTTAAGTTAATGCTGCGTTTTCATTACAGCAAGCAAAATTGTATGCAGAGTTGTAGCCTAGTTCTGTGCCCCAAGGTGACCTAACAGTTTTTAAACTGATAAACAAACATAATAACGTACCATGTTTTAAATCCTTTTTTCAGCCGTTATCCCACTTGATGTGTGCCTGAGTGTTAAACCTCAGGCACACATCAAGTGGGATAACGGCTGAAAAAGTTACTGAGGCTGAAAAAGTTACTGAGGCACATCTCAACAGCCTGATTGGTTGCCGCTCAGGTCATTTGCATGATGTTTTTCCAGAACCGCACTGAACATGGTGTGCATCAGCAGTTTAATGTGTCATTTATTTGAGTATATTTGTTACATCTTAGCACATTGACATTTTATATAATGTAAATTACCCCAGCATATCATTTTGCATGACATCACTGTATACGTCACATATATTCTACTTAAAATTGGAGTGATTCAACTTAAAGACTTTGAATTCCACTGATTTCTCTGTATAATTTCTGTATATTTAGTTCATTAAGATGTCAAAAGATAGAACCCAGACATCTAAAGAGTTTAATGCTTCTCAACCCTACATCATGTTTGTTGTATAAAATGGATATAAATCTGCTGCCTGATGTCTCAGACATTTAGAAGAAGATGAGAAGTTTAGAGAAAAGCACAGTCATGATTGAGATGTACATTCAGGGTGCTGTGAGGCAAAACAGTCCCCAAAGAATGCGCATGTTTTTCAGGTTTTCTACCATTTTTATTATCGACATTACATCTAAAAACTCAGAAGACACGTGTAGG